AAAAACAAAAAAACACTGAGAAAGGCTGACTAGGATCAGTTGAGACTTCCTGAAGGGTAAGAGACTAGACTTGGCCTTGAAGGATGTTGAAGATCAGAATTTAAATCAGAGGCAAGAATTGGTGGAGATGGCTCTAACGAGAGTGTTTTTCAAACGCTGACTGCCACAATAACAAACAGATTTTAGCGCAACCCAGTTCACGTACACACGTGACAGAAACAAAAGTTCATGAAACAATACTTACTCTTCCCAAGCATAATACACTGATTCTTTTATTCTATTCTACCGTATTCTGTTTTTTTTTTTCTTTTCCTTTTTCTTTTTCCTAAATCCTGGTCATGATTCATTAAATTGATCTCACAAAATGAGTGACAAACTCTAATGGCCTGGGGTCTCAGGTTAAGGGCTTTGGACCTGATGCAGGTTATTTTAAGGCCATGGAATTGACCACTAAGAACATAGTCAGGAATCTGCCGGCAGAATTTTAGGCTGGAAAACCCTCTACCTTGTGAATAAAGTGATTGTTTTACGATTATATTTGTCACTGAGCTAAACTTAAATTGGCTTAGCTAACACCACACAATGAAATCAATATGTGTACTATGTATTACTCACAGTTTTTCTCTCTCAGTTGTTTATCATTTAAATTGCTGGTAAATTTCCCAAAGAGTGATTTTTCCTACATTAATATATAGGCTTATATTAATCTAGATAAAAATAAATTTCAAGGTATTTCTGTAAGAGAGACAGTTTCTAAATATGTTTTATTTTACTGTTGTGAATTCAAAAAATTTCTTTTTCTTCTTAAGGAAACAGTTGCTTCACTATAAATTAGAGGATGGACTATTTACGACAAACCCTCCTAAGATGGTGGCGAGGTAGCTTCATAAAAAACAGAAAGTGTGCTCCTCATTATTCATTAGAGACATTCAGGATCAGCTACACAACCATCTGTCTAAAATGCTGTAGAAAGGATTTTCAGCTTTGGCTGGAAGTGTCCCTTTTAACTTTAATATCCTATCATTCTTGACAATATGCCTGAGATTCTCTTAGCTCAATACAAATCCAGCATGTAAATTCTTGGAAAAAAGATACTTCGGGTCTGGAATTGTGATCTTTCCCTAAGGTTTGCAATTAATTCACATCAGAATAATTTTAACGTCATCAGTGATACAAATGCTTATATTTTAGAAAGCACAATACTTCTTGTATTTCAGATATAGAAGGAGAGGTTGCACATCACCTAGCTGTGGACAGAAACCAATCTATCGCTCCTGACTGACTACCAGCAGCTAATTAAGGGGGGGAGCAAGTTCTTTTTTTAATTTCTAAGAAAAAGCGTAAAAGTTAGTTAGCTTGTGTTATAATTTTAAACCCAAACAGCCAGTAATTATGCTATCTCCAGGAGGCCAAGGTTTTTCTCTCAATAATTTAATTAAGCAGACAAAGCTCTGTAATAGGCAGGAGGGAGGCGGGGATAGAAAGGCCAGATTTGGCTTTACTGACTCTGACCATTCTGTGCCAGAGAACATCCAATCTTTTAAGTGCAAGGTTTTAAAAATATCAATTTTTTGGCAACACATAGCACCTTTAGCCCCAAGGCTAGTGTAACAATTTTTTTTAATGCAGCCACCTGCTTTGGGCACATACTAGGACACTCAGTATATAAATACCGATTTGTTGAATGACAGCCCAAGGTATCTAATAAGTATACTGTCATTCTCTAGTTCTCACACACACACACCCTCCTATTGGTCTGAGGCATGAAGTAAATAAATATTTTTTTAAATACACTCACAAGTCTAGAAGCAGACCCACACATATTTTGGATACTTGACTTATGACAAAAGTAGCTCTGCAGAGAAGTGGAGAAAAGGTGGCCATTTCTAAAAAATGTATTAAGGACAACAGAACCCAAATGGAGTTGCTTATGCTAAGCCCCATGTTACCAAACTGAAATTCAACTTAGTTACAGTTTCAGCTCTCCCAGAAATAGAATCTTAAACCAATCAACCATGAATCTCCTGATCAGCATTAGTTAGGTAATCTGCCTGAGAAACCCCTGCCATTCCCTATAAGGAAAGTAACCTTACAATAACCAATCCGATTTTTTGCCTAGTACAACTTCCCTACAAAATCTCTTGCCTTGTATAGCTCTTAAGAGCTCCTTTCCATCTGCCTGATTCATTAATCACTGAATAAAGCCAGTAAAGCTCTTCAAAATTTACTCAGAATTGTGTTCTTTAACAAATGGTTCTGGGTTAACTGAATATCCACATGGGGAAAAATACAACCTGACCCCTCTACCTCTTTTCATACACACACACGAAAATGTATTCTAGTTAGATTATAGATCTAAACATGAAAGGTAAAAACAACGAAATTTCCAGATGACACAGGAAAATATCATCATGAACTTGGTGTAAGGAACTATTTCTTAAATAGGAAACCAAAAGCACTAATTTAAAGGAAAAATTCTTCATCAAAAACATCATTAAGAGAGTAAAAAGGCCAACCACAGACTAAAAGACACTTACAACACAAATATCTGACAAAGGAGTCATGTCCAAAATCTATGTAGAACTCCTACAAATCACTAAGAAAAGGGCAGGCAACCCACCAGAGATTAGACAAACGACAAATAGACACCACACAAAAGAGAATATCCAAATGACCAATAAATGTGTGAAATGTGCTCAATTTCGTTAGGAATCAGAGAATCGTGGATTAAAACGACAGAGTCACACTACGCCCACTGACCAAAACAACTAAAATTTAAGAGACTAACAATATCAAGTGTTAGAAAGGCTATGGAGCAACAGGAACATAAAATGCTGGTGGGAATTTAAATTGGTATAAGCGCTGTGACAGCATCCACCAAAGCTGAACATAAGAATGCCATTTGAAAAATTAAAAATTAAAAAAAATATTAAAAAAAGAACTTTACTAAAAAAAAAAAAAGAATACCATTTGATCTGGCAATTGTACTGAGAGACATGAACAGGAATAGTCACAGCAAAGTATTCTTAATAACCCCAAACAAACCAAATCTCTATCAAGAGTAAAATGTGTATATAAATGATGTCATACAGTGGAATACTCTAGAGCAATGAAAACATACAAACTATCTCTAAAGACAGCCACATGAACAAATCCCACAAACAATGTTGAGCTTAAAAAAAAAAAAAAAAGCCAGTCACAAAAGAATAAAAACCGGACATTTGCATTGATAGAAATTTCAAAAGCAAGCCAAACCGAACTATAGTGGTAGCAGCCAGGAGAGGGGTTGCCTTTGGAGAATAGAGAAGGGGTAAAGACCAGAAAGGGTCATAGGTGGGGTTGCCATGTAAAATACAAGCTGCTCAGTTAAATTTGAATTTCAGATAAACAACAAAGAATCTTTTAATATATGTAGGTCCCATGCAATATTTGGGACATGTATTTTTACTTGGTAAATCCGGCAACCCTAGTCAACGTTGATGCTTTGGGAGTCCTGGTAATATTTTCTATTTTGATGTTCATTCTGTGATCATCCATTGTGCACTTTTCTGTATATGTGTTATACTTCACAATTTTTTAAAAAAGCAAAAGTACACTCAGTGCAGCCTTGCAGATTTTAAAATATCTCATTCAACCACTGTTCTTCCTTCCCACCCTTAATCACTGCATGTGAGAGCTGTGGATCTGAAGTGTTGCTAGGCCCAAAGCTGTGGGCTCTACATTCAATTTTGATTACTTTTACACAGCATGCTTCTTTACTTCTGGAATCTTTTTTCATGCCCTGCCTTTCAGGGGTCTTACTTAATCTGTGTGAGCTTAATCTTACCAAAGGGCAACGTTAGGTTGGAAGGCCAGCCTCTACACATCAGCCAAGAAATGCACAAACCAGTGTTCAAGAAACAAGTTGAACTGGCCAGCTAACCTGTGGGGGTCAGAATGCAGTGGCCTGAAGCTATAAAGATAAGTGGTACTTTAGGGCCAACAACTTGGATGCAGACACTGTTCAGGATCCATAAAGTCGAATGCTTCAATCTGCTGCCTGCTTTCTAAACTTAACAGAGGTTTACACAAATACCTTGAGTGGCTCCAGCAAGTTCCCTCCCATCAGTGTATTACTTACCTACTTCCTACAGACACTAATGGAAAACCCAAGTAAAGAGTAGTGACCAGTGCAAACAAAAACCTGAATCATTTTTCTGCTGTGGTTTAAATAAGATGCTATTTACTGGCAAAAGTTCTTGCATGCTCAGGGTTTTTAATGTTGTTGTGTTGTGTCGTTTGGTACTTTCATCTTGTTTTGAAATGAACCATTCCCAATTCTAAATGAAGAAAGAACTCCTCCAACTTTGGATCGTTCACTATAAAGTTTAGGATCAAACTTTATAGGCAGGTGGAACCCTTATCTGCCCCCACCAGCCTTGAGAGTGCCAGGTTTCTTCACTCTAATAGCAAACTCTTTCACAAAGGGTATTAAGGATCGTGATTAGGCTCCTGGGCTGTGGAGACTGGTTGCCTGGAGGGAACCCAGCTTCACCACTGAGATTGAGTAGCTCTGGCCAGTGAGTGACTGACTCATCACTCTGTGCCTCAGTTTCCTCCGCTGCAAAATGGGAATTAAAAATAGTAGCTACTACAAAGGGCTGCTGGGAACATCTAATGCTGTGTAAGGTGATTAAAGCACAGCTCCTGGCACACCTTCAACGCTCAACGATGATTATCATCATTAACCTACCATCGGCTACCTTCGAGGGTCCTAACACCTATAAGGACTCTACTTCTGTATCTAACGCAGGAAAAGTATCCAGATGCAGTTGGGGAGAGGGGGAAGGGGAGGTAGAGAGTAAGGGTTCCACCAGCCTACAAATTTTGGTCCAAGCTGCGCCCAGTCCACAGAAGGCGAAGCAGCGTCACGAGGCCTCCAGTAGGGGCCGGGGGAGTGTCCACACCTGGACCCCAGACTCTGGCCGGGACCTCTGACCTCGGGCGCCCTCACTACTCACGTTGCGGTTGAAGCTGTGGCCCGGCAGCAGCGGCAGCGCCATGGCTCTGAGCGTCCGAGGGTGAAGGGGCCGAGAAGAGGGGCCGGCAGGCAGCTGCCACCCTGCAGCCGCGCTGTTTGACCCCCCGACCCCACGTTACCTCGAGACCGAAATAGGTCTCACGAAAGGAGAAGGGGCTTCGACAGGCCGGGAGCTCGGGGCGGGGCCGGGGCGGGGCTAGGGGAAAAGCTCCCCGCCCGCACCTCCCCCCCGCCCACCCCACCCAGTCAGCCGGGTACGGGTCTCCCGAGGCTTTTCTCTCTACACACATTGTGCAAACACAAAGGCTGACGACCGCACCATTCCCCGCCCCCGGGGCTCGCTGGTTTAACCCTTGGATAGGGCTCAAAGCCTTTCATGTACTGAAGCTCCTCTGTTGCTTGCACATTTCTTGCCTTTTGGTTATTAAATTTAGTTCAAACACACAGAAAAGTGCAGAAAATAAGATGACACCCGGGTGCTCACAGAAATGTAACACCAGTGAATGTTACATTTACATCAGCTTTAATTTTGTAATTAAAACGTTCCAGATGAATCCAAAGCCACACATACCCTCATCTGTCTCCCCACCCCCACCCGCGCGATCACCAGCACCGGAGAAAACCCATTCAGCGGTAACCACCATCCTCCGTCCTTTCTCTGTATCTTTTTATATTTGAACTAAACATTTGTAAGATGCTCGTTCCTGGTGCAATCATAGTGGCCAGGGGCCGCGTGAGTTGGCACAAAATGCAACCTCTGTCAGTCCATCATGCACCCAAGATGCCCAAGCCAGAAGCTCCTCTCCCCACGCCTACAGCTAATCCCTCCCTGAGTCCTGCTCTACTGTTTGGACATGCTGGGTATCTCTCAGCCACCACCCCTTCTGTCTCAATCGAGACCCCATTATTTCTTGTCTGGTTTTCTTTTAAAACAAGCAAACAACAACAAAGAAAACAACTAAATAATCTTGCCTCCAGAGCCATCCTCTTATATAATTCATGATGCACCTGTTAACTCTTCTGCTTCAATATTCTTCTATCCTTCACGAGGCAGGCCAGCTCCTTAGCCCAGTCAGAGCCTATGTCAGGAGGCGCCCACGAACTCCCTCCACCCCTTTCTTTGCCCCGCTCCTCTACTCCAGCTCCGAGAAACCACTGGCAGTTTCCAAACCGGGCTCTGCAGTTTCTCCCCTCTGAGATTTTGCAAATGTTACTATCTGCTAGAAAACACCCTTCCTTCCTACCTTTAACCTGGGTAACCCCTTCTTGTCTTTCAGGACTTGGTTAAGTGTGGGAGAGAGGTGTGGAAGACTTCGTCATTTCTGGGAAAACTTCCTCCACCCTCTCCAACTTCCCCATCTGTATTAGGTGCCCATTCTAATGGTGGCTTTTGTGGTACTGCATTGTAATCATGGTTTTACTTGACTCTCTTCAAATGCCCCCAAGTTCTTCCAGGGCAGGGACTCTATCTCCTTTTTTATTCATTGAAAGCATACATTATTGGTTTTCTATGTTTATAAATTTTACACTATAAATTTCTTTTTTAAAATTTATTTATTTTATTTATTTATCTTTGGCTGTGTTGGGTCTTCGTTGCTACGCGTGGGCTTTCTCTAGTTGCGGCTAGTGGGGGCTACTCTTCGTTGCGGTGCGCGGGCTTCTCATTGCAGTGGCTTCTCTTGTTGCAGAGCACAGGCTCTAGGCGTGCGAGCTTCAGTAGTTGTGGCACATGGGCTCAGTAGTTGTGGATCCCTGGCTCTAGAGCGCAGGCTCAGTAGTTGTGGCTCACGGGCTTAGTTGCTCTGCGGCATGTGGGATCTTCCCGGACCAGGGCTCGAACCCGTGTCCCCTGCATTGGCAGGTGGATTCTTAACCACTGCACCGCCAGGGAAGCCCTACACTATAAATTTCTGCTACCTGCTTTTTTCACCTAAGATTTTGGTTTTGAGATTTCTACATGTTAACACATGTAGATCTATTTCATTCATTTTAAACAAATTGTATGATTATACCACAAATCACTGATGCCTCTGTTGTCATCTGTTGATGTCATCTGTTGATGACGATGAGGTTGTTTCCAATTTTTCAGTAGTTATCAACAATGCTGCAAAGAACAACCCTCTCCTGTTTCTTTGGAGATTATCTAGGCTATATACCTAAAGGTAGAATTGTTCACACCTTCATCTGTACTAGATCTCCAGAATCTTTGAACCAATTAAGAAAGTTCCCCTTTCACCTTCATCCTTTCAACAATAGGTATTATCAAATTGTATACTTTTGAACAATCATCTGAATAAATGTGAAATGGTATGCCATTGTTATTTTAATTTGTTTCTCCCTAATTCCTAGTGCAGTTGGTCATCCTTTCACAGGCTTGTTACCTTCTTCTGTGACTCATCCATTCCTATCCTTTGCTGATTTCTCTATTTGATCATTTGTAATTTTTAATATATATTCTGGATACTAATCTTAGGCATAGCAAATATCTTCTCATCATTTGTGGTTTGTCTTCTCCATTTATAGATTTCTTTATTGTACATGAATGTCATTTTACTTGGATCATTCTTTCCCATTATGGCTTGTGCTTTGTATGTAAATTCAAAAAATCCTATAGAAGAAAATTATTCTCCTACATGTTCTTACAAATATTTTTAAATGTTTCTTTTTTCTTACTTTTTAAATTGAAATAATTTCAAACTAATAGAAAAGTAGCAAGAATAATACAAAGAACTCCTGTTTGCCCTTCACCCAGATTCCCCCAATTGTTTTATATTTTACCATTTGTGTTTTATCATTCCTTCTGTATATACAAATTTTCCCTTTTAGAGTAAATACCAGACATCATGTCCCTTTACCCCTAAATACTACAGTGTATATTTCCTAATAACAAGGGCATTCTCTTACATAACTGGAGTACAATAATCAAAATCAGAAAATTGGTATTAATTGAGTACTATTTCCTAATCTAAAATATTTAATTCAAATTTTGTCAATTGTCCCCAAAACGTTCTTTTTAGCAAAAAAATTAGTTTAAAAAATCTGGTCCAGAATCTCATCTAACATCACAAATTAGTTGTCACATCTCTTTATTCTCCTTTGATCTGGAACAGTTCTTCCATCTTTCTTTGTCTTTCCTGACCTTTATATTGTTGAAGAGAATAGGCTTCTTCAACAAAAATAAGAACATTATTTGGTAGAATGTTCTTCAGTTTCGGTTTGACCAGTGTTTTCTCCTGAGTAAATTACTGTCTTTTTGTTCATGGCATTTTAGCAGGAACACCACAAGAGGAACGCTGTGTCCTTCTCATTCATCAAAGGAGCAGGTACATAACGTGTATTTTAACCATCAATACTGAAGTTAACTTTGATCACTGGTTAAGTGGTGCATGCCAAGTTTCTCCACTGTAGTGACTTTTTTTTGCCTTTCTTATTAATAAGAATTCTGCGAGGTGATCGTTTGGAACTATGTAAATACCAAGTTCCTCATTAAACTACTAGCATCAATGATGATTTTGCCCAAATCATTTATTACCACTGTGATTGCCAAAGGATGATTTCTTAACTCTACCATTCTTTCTACATATATTAGTTGGCATTCTTCTACAAGGAAGAACTTTCATTTCTCTCCATTTATTTATTTATTCATTCATTTACATCAGAATGGTCTACAGACTCTTGTTTTATTCCGTGCATTATAATCTGTTACTATTATTATTTATTTTGATGTTAAAATGGTCCTACATTTGGTCAGTGGGAGTCCCTCTAAGCTGACTCCTCTGTTCTTTTGATTTTCCCTACCATTTTTCAAGTGCTTCCTTGTACTCTCACTACAAGATATTCAAGATATCTATAGTATAGGTAGACATAGATAGGCACTGATAGCTATGTCTCTTTCCATTTCTGTCTTCGGATAGATAGATAGATAGATATAAAGACATAGCAAAACCCTTGAGTTTATACTGATATGTCCAATTTCAGTCAACACAATAGAGTATGTGGTCGAGTTCCCCTTTCCACATCTATAATGCCCTTCTCAAACTGTAAGAAATCTGATTCCAGTTACCCTCAAAATATTTACTTATTTGCTCAATACTAAAAGACTCCCAAAGCAGTTTCAGAATAGCTAACTCATGTCATTGTGAAAACAAACCTACTAACTAAAGTTCAGTATATGTTTTCAGGGTTTTTTTCTTTAGTCTTAATGTATTTAGTCAAAATACTGTGTTCCAAAATGAGTTGGGTGTGTTTCCCGACTCTTGTCCTCTCCTCCCTGTTTAGAGTGATTATGTTACTCATTTGAAAAAAAGTCTGGTTCATTCTTTTCCCATTTGTAGCTCTCGCTCAGATTTTTGCTCCATCCTTGTCTGTTTCTCCTTTGTCTTTCTTATTTTGTAGTTGTGTTTCTCCCTTTTCCATTTGATTAATTTAGCTAGTGGTTTATATATTTTGTTACTTTTTTCAAAGAACCAGAATTTTGATTTATTACTCTGACCTACTGTTTTCTATTCCTAATCTTCATTATTTTTCTGCTTTTACCTTTATTTTTTTCTTCTTTGTCCTTTCTTGTGGCTCATTTGTTGTTCTTTCTCTCACTTTTTAAGTTGATATAATTCATTCATTTTTGTTGATTTAAGTGTTTAAGTGTATGAATTTTTCCTCTGAGTTCTACTTTAAATGTATCCAATAGTGTCTGATATGTAGTGTTTTCATACTCGTTTCTTTGTTTTTAAAGATATTCTGTAATGTTGGCTTGCATTTTCCATTTCACTCCAGTTGTTTAATAGAAGACTTTTAAATTTCTAGATGGAAAAAATTTTTCAATTTAGTTCTATTTCACTGTGATAATAAAGTATTGTTTGTAATATTTCCATTGTATAAAACTTATTGTCGATTTCTTTGTGACCTAATATTTCATGGATTTTTGTAACTATGCTATGCACAGCTGAGAAGGAAGGCGTACTCCCTATTATTCAGTTCTAAAGTTCGTTATATGTAAATGAGATCTATTTTATTGATTATGTTGTTTACTTCTTCTGTATCCTTACTTATATTTCTGCCACTTGATCTGCTCTGCACTAGGAATGACCTATTAAAGTCTCCTATTAGCAATCTGTTTCTATCTGTATCACATTGCATCTATAGTTTCTGCTTTTTA